CACACACACACACACACACACACACACACACACACATTTAAATGATTACTGAAAAAAACTGATTTAATTATTGATGATTTTAAACATTTATCAGATTCAATTTATTTATTAATTTATTTCTTTATCTTCCCTTCAGCTTTCTGAGCCCTCTCTGGCAGCCCCCATTTTGAAAAACATTGGTCTAGATCAAAGGTGCCCAAAATGGGGCCCGTGGACCAAAATTGGCCTGGCAAGCCATTTGATTTGGCCCACCAATAGTTGGCCTAGCTGTAATCTCCTGTCGCCCTCTGCAGCAACACTGTATTTTCACCGACAGTCAATCACTGGCCCAGTGGCCATGTAAGGAGCTGCAGTGCAGATAGTTGGTTTTATCTTTGAATTACATTTAGGCAGTGGTGGGCAGCACGAATAAAACAAATTAGTTGCTCTAACCCTAAAGCACTAACTTTAATATTTAGGTCCCCTAATTCTAAAGCACTAACACACTTAAATATTCAGCAAAAACTAATTCTAAAGCACTAACTTTAATATTTAGGTCCCCTAATTCTAAAGCACTAACACACTTAAAAATTTAGCGAAAGCTAATTTTAAAGCACTAAAAACCCAGCTGACCCATGGAACATTCCTCAGAGTCAACATGAAACAATATTTTCGATTAAACGCTAAATAAAAGTAACTGAAGGAGATACAACATTTAGATTAGATTTCAGCACACATGTAGATTTGAACACTTTATAAGACCACAAATACTCAGATTTTATCAATTTATGAAATATCCCATGAGCCTTTGCTGCCCAAGCATATGTCTAACGTTCTCCAAGTGCAGAGGGTAAAAGAACAAACAAACAAAACATGGGCCACCACACTGGCTCCTAGCTTAATCATAAAAATAAAAAGACTTTACTTAAAAAGTATTTGCATTTTATATATTTTATTATTGCATTTGGCCCGCAGCCCTTGGATAGGGTTTCATTTTGGCCCTCTCGGGGGAAAAATTTTTGGGCACCCCTGGTCTAGATGGTACAGCTAAAAGGAAACAAAACCTCACTTTTAAGACTGACAGTTATGCACTGCTTCATCAATACTCCATCATCTTAGAAAGGCACAGTTACATAATAAACAATCATTTAAATTATGTTTAACAAAATTATGTGCAAATCTGCATTATGTTCTTGTTAAACTGCACATACACATCTGTAAATCTGTAGACATGAAATCTATATATTATAATTGTCTTTTCTTCATCTTATCTTATGGAGTAATGGGAAACAAAAAAGCAAACAAAAACAATAGAGTAATTAAGACAACAAAACAGCTTAAATATTGGTTTGTAGTAAATAGTAGATTGATTTGACTTGATTAGTCAAATGAACAGCTTGAGATCAAAATTGAAGGCAGGCAGTGAATGATAAATAATTTTACTGTAAAACTGTGAGGGCTCGATATGCAAAAATATAGGAATTATCATTACTTGATAAATAATTACTATTGCTGGGATAAATATTCGGATGAGGCTGTTTGCTGTGACCCTGATGCTAAATGTTTTCAATCAAGCTAAGACTCAAATGGTGCAAATTAAGAACTTCAGCTCAACTCAGAATTACAGATGATGTTGTCTCATTAAAGCTTTCACACAGACAAACATGTTAATAACGTGAGACACAGACAAATCCTTTCGAGAGGTTTTATTGTCTGCCTGACAGCACGACACCAAAGCTGAAAGCAGAAACCAATTCTTGTTTGATGGAGGCACTTCACCTCAAACTACAAACGCCATCCTGCTGCTCGCACAAGAGGAAAAGTCATGAGCGCACCAAAATCATTTGAGTGTTGCCTGAATCATTTTCTGCCTGAGGGAAATGTGTTGCGGATCAACGGCTGTTTGTTTAGCCTTTTTCACAAGTTAAATCAACACAATCTCGATTCCATCTGAGCAAGTAGCTCATCAAGCAACTAAATTCTTTCTTCTTATTAGTTTGTTCCTCTCAAGACTTGTATTTTTCATTTTCTTTGTCTGTGGAGTGTGTTTACACTAATCTTTGCTCCCAGCGCAGGCATCTTGTAAATAAGCCGAGTGCTTTTATCCATCAGAGATTCAGGCTTTAGGTGGATCCAGAATGATGACATTCGGCGGACAAATCAGCGTTTCTGCTGCAGGCTCTGCGTTGCTCCAGTTACAGTCAGCCTGTCAGGAACACAGTTCGGCTTACCCCCCAACAGAGGAGGTGGGAACAGATGACTCGCTTCTTATTGTCACTTTGAATTTAAGAAGCTCACAAGAAGATTTTGTCACATTTTTCTTTAGGCTGTGACAAAAGCAGAAAGTTTTCGCCGTCGTTCACTAAAGATGAAACGTTTACTTTTAGCTGGAAATAACAGCATCCGAGGTGTTGATGATAAATCGATTTTTCCTCGTTTTATGAGCTGTAAACGCTCGTTACCTCCGCCAAGAGCGAGGTAATGTTTTCGGTCGCGTATGTCTGTCTGTCTGTCGTTCTATCTGTGGACAACATTACTCAAAAACTTGTGGACGGATTGTCATGACATTTTTACCATATGTTGGTAGTGGGCCAAGTAACACACCAATACATTTTGGTGATGTTCCGGATCACGATGCGGATACAGGAACTTTATTTTCTTTTAACTCTCTGAGGTCGAAAGCTGTGATGCTTTCACGGGGCTTCTGTAAAAAACAGTGAGAGCTTTCCGTGTTCATTTGAACTGGATTACACAGCACGGACTTCAAACTTTATAAAAGTAATGTTAAAACCAGATTTAATGATGAATAATTTTTGCCATAATGTGCGCATTTTTACGCATTTGGTGCGTGTTTAGAGAACGTTTTGTGACGAGGAAGTGCATGACTGCACCATGAAACCTATTTTTCCCATTTCCTCAAACACACCACATTGTCGGTAGGCTTGTAAACAGATGGCTTCTGGCCTTTGGAGACGGCAGGAGAACAAATTGATTTCGGCATTTTGGAAGCTAGTAGCGGGTTACGTTTTAGACCAGACGTGTGTTGGAGTGTGTGAGTGTGTGTGCAGTGTTTGCAGTAGTGTTGTTACTCTGTGTGTCAAAACGAGTCATCGTTTGACTGGAGGAAGCTAGCTCTGACTCCTGAGCTGAGCTGAGATGAAGACCGAGGAAGAGGAGTGACGCGCTCAGGTGTGGTGGACTTCAGACTCGGAGGTTAGCAGTTTGTTTGTTTGTTTGTTTGTTTGTTTGTTTGGCATGGAATATGTTAAATATTATAAGCCCCCTCCTCAAGTATGGGGTCTATTGTAAAATTGTGTTTGGGTGCAGGGTAGGTCGGCGAAAATCTAAAATATCTGTTCCTACCAAATTTCATGCTTCTAGGTGCAGAGAAGATTTATTGGATTTTGGGTGGGGATCCAGGGGGTTGGAGTGATGGGTGGGGGGCTCATTGGTGGGCCCGATGGATAGCCCTTCATCAGAACTAAATAACAAAAACAATCTGAAGCTCCCATGTTGAATAGTTTTTGAGTTAGCATTTTTGTATGTCCAGACGACAACTTTCCAGATGGGGTGGGTGTCTAGGGCGTGAGGGTGGGGCTCATTGGAGGGTCCAATGGATAGCCCTTCATCAGAGCTAAAAATAAAAAAATTAATAAATAAAATCTGAAGCTCCTATTTTGAATAGGTTTTGAGTTATAAGCATTTTTGCATGTCCAGACACCCCCCGTTTAGATGGAGCCCCCTCCTCAAATGTGGGGCCTATCATAAAACCGTTGGTGGGCACAGTGGAGATCGGACACTACATTCCTACTAAATTTCACGTTGATGTATGCTGCCATTTCCATGTTCCGAATGACCAAAATCTCTTAAAAACATAAAATAAAATAAAAAAATAAACAGTATGAGAACAATATGACCCCTGTTTCGCTTGCAGGGGGGCGGGGGCGTCATAAAAACAAAAAGCTGAAAAGTAACAAGAGAGGAGAGCAAAAAAAGATTATTTTAAAACTTTAGGAAGAGAACGGAAACACACGGATTAGTGTAAACAGCTTCGTGACTTCATTTCTCTCCGAGTGGTTAAAGAGAGCTGCAGAGCATAATTATTCCTGGAGAACTTGTGTGAATTTTAACCAGCTCAAAATGCCTTTGTCAGCAGTGTTCACCCCAAAAATATTTTAAGCTTGTGCAATTTTTATTAAAAATGAGAGAAAGAGCTCTAAAACAATGGAAATGTCTGTATTACCATGCAGACCYGTTTTAGCAAAGCAGAAACAAACAAGACACATAAGGAAGCTGTTCTGCAATGTTTTCACTCACCACCAAAGAAGAGCTGGCTCTCCGAGGTCAGAGGAAGTGGGATGCTGGTTTGAGCCGTGGCTCCTTCATCTTTGTCCACCGTGATGCTCAGATGGTTTTCTCTGGAGGCCAACTCCACAGAATGCCACTGACCATCGTTCAGACCTGAGCCTGTGAGAACACACACACACACACACACACAGACACACACACACACACACACACACACACACAC